CGGAGGGGCGCCCCATCGGAGGTAGACATCGCTGTGGACGCTCTCAGGAACTCGGAGCGAAGGTTCGTCTGAAAGAGCCAAGAAGTTTCCTGCAGGAAGAATAGTGTCGGGTACTGGGATCTCCTTGGTGTCCTCGTACATGCGCGACAACGCGTCTGGCTTCGTGTTTTTTGAACCGGGCCTGTATGTGATGTGGAACTGGAACCTCGAGAAAACAATGCCCATCTTGCTTGTCGTGGGCGCAGACGTTTGGCCGTCCTCAGATATTCCAGGTTCTTGTGGTCCGTGAATATCAGGATGGGATGAGAGGCACCTTCCAGCAGGTACCTCCATTCTTCTAATGCGGTCTTGATAGCCAGTAGTTCTCGATCCCCAATGTCGTAGTTCCTCTCCGCAGGGGTAAGTTTCCGTGAGAAAAATGCTACTGGGTGAAGTAATTCCTTGGCGCCCTTTCATTGGGAAAAGATGGAGCCAACCGCGTTTTCTGACGCATCTACTTCTAAGATGTAGGGCAGGGAGGCGTCGGGATGACCCAGAATGGGTGCCGAGGTAAATAACTTCTTTAGTGCTTCAAAAGCTTCCTGTGCCTCTGGCGTCCATCTGAATCACGTCCCAAGCTTGGTTAACTGAGTGATGAGGGAGACCAGACCCGAGAAGTTCTTGATGAACTTCCGGTAGAAGTTTGCGAACCCAATAAAACGTTGGACGCTTTTCCTGTCCGTGGGTTCAGGCCAATCAAGGATCGCAGAGACCTTCTGAGGGTCCATTGCGACCCCCGTGGTGGAGATAATCAGACCCAGAAATATAACACTAGCCTGTTCAAAGCAACATTTCTCTGCTTTAGCGTACAACCCGTGCTGCGCAACCGCCCAAACACCTTTGTTACATGTACCCTGTGCTCCCCCAGGGAGGATGAGAAAATCAAAATGTCGTCGAGTAGACGATGACAAAGATGTCCAGTAAAGTCCCTAAAGATATCGTTTACAAAGTGCTGGAAGGTAGCCGGCGCATTGCACAACCCGAAAGGCATGACCAGGTATTCGAAATGGCCGAAACGGGTGCGGAAGGCCGTTTTCCACTCATCCCCCTCCCTTATGCGAACCAAGTTGTAGGCTCCCCTTAAGTCCAGCTTGGTAAATACTACTGCAGCTTTTAAGCTCTGGAATAATTCAGGTACCAGTGGTAATGGGTAACGATTTTTATTTGTGACCCTATTCAGCTCCCGATAGTCAATACATGGCCTCAAAGTCTTGTCCTTCTTTTCTACAAAGAAGATCCCTGCACCTGCTGGGGAAGTGGAGGGACGGATGAATCCCTTCCGGAGGCTGTCCTCAATATAATCCTTCAGGGCCCCTAATTCTAGCTCAGAAAGGGGAAAAATTCACCCGAAAGGAATTTCAGAACCGGGGTAACAGATCAATAGGACAGTCATATGGGCGGTGGGGGGGTAGAGCATCTGCTCCCCGTTCACTGAACACATCAAGAAACTTATGATAGGCTGCAGGGATCACTTGTTTTAGGCTGGCATCCCCTTCAGAGCACAGGAGGACCTGGGGGACCTCCGGGCCCGAAGTTCGACACAGTTCCCGACAGTATGGGGAAGGGAACGAGACAACCCCAGTTTTCCCAGTCAATTTGGGGGTTATGGGCCCGCAACCATGGGAGCCCCAGAATGACTGGGAAAAGGGGTGATGCAATAGCATCCAGGCTGAGGAGTTCCCGGTGCTGACCGGCAATAGAAGTCACAATGGAAGGGGTCTCCTGGTTAACCACCCCTGACTTTATCCGGGAGCCATCAGCCAAAAAGATGTGAAACCCCTTCTCCTGTGGGCGGAGGGGGATACCCTGCTGGTGAGCAAAATTGATATCCACAAAACAGCTGCATGCCCCCGAATCAACTATGGCCGTCACCTCCACGGTCCTTTCTGAAAGCTGAAAGGAGAGGGGAACAACTAAGTATTGGGACGGATTCATATTGCCAATAGATAAAGAAGATGAGGTGAACTTACTCAGTTTCTGCGGGCAGGAACGTACCATGTGACCCGCTTCACCGCAGTAGAGACACAGATTCTGGGAGCGTCTGCGCTGGCGTTCCTCTGGCGATAGTTTAGGCCGTAGCAGGCCTAGCTGCATGGGTTCGGGAGCATCTTCAGGCGGCAGGTTCTGGATGTTTGGCCTAGTATGTTGACTGGATCCTTGGAAAGACCCCCAGGTATTTCCGCGACCCTGACCAGACCTCTCCAATCTGCGCTCCCCGTAGCCTACGGTCAATTTTAATGGTGAGTGCAATCAAGTCCTCTAATGTCTCGGGCACCTCCACCCGGGCGAGCTCGTCTTTCAGAGCCTCAGAAAGGCCCATACGGAACTGGTGCAAAAGTGCGAACTCGTTCCAACGAGTGTCACCCATCCAGCGCCTAAAGTCAGAGGCGTATTCCTCAGCCGCCCGCCGACCTTGTCGGAGTGCGTATAATGTGGCCTCGGCCGAGGCCGCCCATTGTGGGTCATCGTATAAGATGGCCATAGCGTTAAAGAAGTTGTCAACCGTAACCAGATGAGGATCATTATTTCCCCTTAGTCGGTGGGCCCAGTCTTGGGGTTCACCCTGCAACAGGGAGATAACAAACCCCACTTTCACCGTTTTTTTTTTTTCTTGATCTGTCAAAAAGGTCCGTGGTTGCAGTTCAAAGTAGAGCAGACAGGAGTCACGGAATGACTGACAAGCGTGTGCGATCCCCAAGCGCTCGGGTAAGCGCTCGCCATAGGTAAGTGGAAGGCCCAGGAGCCGGCCCGTGGGGCTGCTGCCATAGGGAGTGTGGAAGGAGCCGGGGCCTGTGAAACAGGAGCAGATATGGTGCAGGCCTGAAACCGATTCTCGATCTGCAAACATCTGTCCTGTAATGTGTTTACTGCTTGCGTCAGGGTAGCCAGGTGCCTGCAAACCTCATCCAATGGGGAGGGTCCTCTTCGAGGCTCAGTCATGGCCTTCTGGTACTGTGAGGGACCGCCGAGCGGCACCACTAGCACTCCACTGGTCAGGCGTGCCCAGAGCGCGGAGTCTAAGCCCCAGGGTACTTGTTCACCAGGGCCCCTGATGGTGGGGATGGACTTGTAGTACCCCGAGACCAGGTCGCCACTACTGAGCACACCTGTCAGTGGTAGGGGTGTTCGCCAGGGGCTCCAACCAGGGAGAGCCAGATGTGAGGAGGTCGGGTGACCCCGATGGGATGGATGGATGGATGGCTGAGCAAGTGCGAAGTCAGACAGGCCGAGTTGGTAACGTAGAGGACGGTAAGGTACAAGGGAGCAGGCAGAGAATCGTCGGGTCACACGCCAGGTCAGCAACAGGAGGTCAGATCTAATGAGGGGCATCCAGGGAGAGAGGTCAGGCAAGCAAGGGTCTGGGCAGGAGAAATCAGCAGGTCAAGAACAATCCGGGTCAATAAACTTACAAGGCACAGGTACAGAATCACAGGAAGCAGGTAAGACCAGAAGGCAACAAAATGACAGCTCAGGGACCTTTAAATATCCCGCCCTGCGCTGCCATTGGTACCCAGCGGGCGGCCGCAGCTTCTACTGCGCATGCGCGCGCGAACTCGAACGCCGCGGACCTAGTGCCCGTGTACAGGGCGGAGCAGTGCGCCTGCGCGGGACCATCGCGGCAGGGATCGAGGGGATCCCTGACAGCACCTTCATGGACAGATGTAAAAATCATGGATATTACCAGGGGCGGACTGACAACTCTCATGGGGCCCCCCGGGCAATAGGGGATCATGGGTCCATGGTGTCCTTGTCCAAACTCAAAAAAGCCTATGAAAAAGGTAACAGGGGCATCTCATGGGGCCCCCTACTGACCCCGGGCCCTCAGGCAGTGCCCGAGTTTCCAAATGGTCAGTCCGCCCCAAACTGTCTCTGAATTTAATTATGGTTGGCAGCCCTGGTATGTTCTGTGTGGGGAGATAGAGGTGAGGTTGTGGCTTTTGGGAGCACAACCAAAATCTGGGGAGGCGGCATTTACTTGCCTGGCACTATGTGCAGTCCCTGTATTCTCTATTGCCATTGCTTTTACAAAAACGGTACCACCGGAATCCCTTCAGCTGTGTCTGATCCTGGATTCTCTGTGCCCAGTGCCATGGCCTCTATACATATACGGCATTGCCTGCACCCCACCATATGTGCCTTTGCCGACTTGTCCCTGCCAGCCACTGTGGCTTCTATTCTTACACGACATTTCTCCAGACATGCCTGGGCTGCATGCTGACCTCTCCTGGACTGCGGATTGGTCACCTCTGTTCTAAGGACTCGTTCATACATAGGCCTTCTAAAAAGTGATCTCAGAGGTGTTTGACAGGCATTGAGGAGGTGAGAAGTTGCCTTCTTATCACCTGTTTTAACCCTGAAAATGCAAAGTCACTGCCTGCAGGGTGGTTGCGGCTCTGCCCCTGTCACTTGAATGGGTTGCGTTTGGCGGTAGTACTGTTTAATTTGTGTCTCAGAAGTTAAAAATGCAATTATTTTCTACTAAATTTATAAAAGGAGAACCTCAGTCTACACATACATAATAATATCAAGTTTGTTGGCTCCACGTTGGATTAGATCATACAGTCCACAATGGTTAGTGAGCTTCTGAATTAGCCAATAAATCTTTCCTTAAAATAAATGGCCATTGATAGAACATGATATTGTCCTTTTAACATATGTAAGAAACGGGTCCATTTTTCAATTACAGCGGAAACTCCTTTCAGAAATGATGTCATAGTCATAATCATGGTCAGCCGCAGTTTCCTTCTGCCGTCACGTTAGATTTGGACTGAGCCTGCAATTCTCCAGAATTCATTGGCTCAGTCATTAGTCCAACCCTGCTCTTCTTATATCTATACTCCAGCTGTATACTGTATATAGGAATCTTACAGAAGAGAGGAAACATGCTCTTTGCACTCAGAGTGACTCATGTCTTTGTTATTGGCTGATAATGCTTTCATCCCCATTTTTTTTCTCTGTTTTTAGACATTGATGAATGCGCTCTGAAGAATGAGACGGTGTGCTCTCACATCTGTATCAATACCCCAGGAAATTATAGGTGCGACTGTCACGAAGGCTACTCCCTGGAGGAGGATGGGAAAACCTGCACCAAGGGGAATCAAGGTATGGACACGGGCATGTTGCTTAATGTCTTTCCCATACTTCACTTTTTTTTTCAGGGCTTTTGCCAGAACCATGCACTTAGAATATTTCTGCTAAATGAATCTCCATCAGTACAAATAGTCTGGCTTATCTTAAAATTACAGTTTATTGCCCGCTGGCTTTTTGGGGTCTAATGGCAAGATCACCCTAATGAAGAACCTGCATTGTCACTTGGCATCTGCATAAAGAATCATTCCCTCATGTATGAAAATTCAAGGTTGAGCCCTCTCAGTCATTCGGCTTCTACCCACCTTTTCTCACCACCAGTGAGGTTGATTTACTAAAGGCAAATAGGCTGTTTGCTTGCAAGGGAAATTTTCTCAGAGCTGAGTAAATGTGAAGTTTCCCAACCACATGCAAAGAAAACAAAAAGAAAAAAATTGCTTGCACATGATTGAATTACAGAAGTCAACAGGTCTTCATCTCGTTCACTAAGCTCTGGGGTAAATTTAATTGCACAGTGCACCTTCCCTTGCAAAGCGAAAAGCCTTTTTGCCTTTAGTAAATCAACCCCAATGACTCAGATCTTGACAGCAGCTGAAATTTCTGCCTTTTGGAGACTTCATGTCATATAGTTGTCATTGTAAACTCTAAGGCCCCCTTCACGCTTTTAGCTCGAAGCTCAAAAACGCTAAACAAGCAAAAACCTAATATTTCCAAACCCCCTGTTCACATCTAAGCATCCCATCACTTGCCTTTTGCTCAAAAAAATACATAAGCCACTCTTCAGGCAGAATTGAGCTATTTTGTCCCCATGGACATTAATGGAAACACCTAAAAAAAGGGCAACATGAGCTTTTTTCAAGCATTTTGTTGCATGTGTTCTACTCAAACAGCAGTATTCTGCCCCTTTTTCAGCAGCACACCACACCTTTTAGTTGAAAAACAGCTTTGAAAAAGGCTGTGGCCGAAACGCGTTGGTTTTATGGATTACATATTCTCTACTGTGTGCCAATAAAGTAAAATATAATAAGGATATGAGTTGCCGGTTATTCTGTCACATATCTTGGATCTAAAAACCAGCCTGAGCACCAGCGCCCCACTCATATTCCTCTGATGAGCAGTAGAACTTAGGTGAATTGTTGACTACATACATTATTTTAGTTCAAAGCATGCAATTACGCTCCAAAAACACTCATAACTGCTTGAAAATGTGTGAATGTAGCCTAATATACAGATCACTCGATAGTAGAGAAATCCTCTTCACCAGGGTCAGCTTGAACCGGGCACAGAACGGTCTATTGCTTTCATTGTTTCCACCAATTCCAGGTCTGTGATCTTTCACAGACCTGTAACAAATCACTAAAGTTTTTTTTTTTCATTTGCAGTGTTGGCAGAAATCGTCATAGATTTCAGTTTTAGTGAATCTTTAGTTTTAAACTTTTTTTTATCAAAAGCTTTTCAAGTAATTTTAGATAAAGGAGAAGTACAGCGAAAGCTTGTTTGGTTGTACTTCTGTGGATCACAGGAGTGCAGTTCGGTCCAGGCTGAGGAAAGATCGCGTCCATACGTTCGGGTTCCACCCAAGAGCCTGGACTGGCACCTGGCTCAGCCTCTCTGAGCCTCTGAGATCCTGAGCCAGCCACTCCAACCCCTTCCACCGCTCCAATGAGTGCTGGGGTGAAGGGTGGCAGAGCAGACAGCAGGGACTGAGTGATCAGCCATGTCAGAGCTAACGGGGGAAAGAAGCAGCATCGGGTTGATGCTGCGTCCACCTAGGTAAGTATGGTTTAAAAAAAAAATATTTCTCTTTTAAATATTTAGTAAAATAATTAAATATGGTCTAAGAAATAAAAATATGTAAATACATTATTACAGCACTCTACTTAGTAAGTGCTCAACTGACCGCAGGAGTCCAATTTTGAGGAATGACCTCAGCCGCCATTCTGGCCACGCCTTCTGATGCCCTCAGAGGTCACACTATGACCAAGCCCCTGATGGATGGGGCGAAATGCATCATGGGGCATGGCCAGAACAGCTGCTGATGCCATTCCTCAACATTGGACTCCTTGGGTCGGTTGAGCGGCGTCCATCCCTTCACTTGTATTGGCTGACACTGGAATCACTCATACTCATGCTCCCCTCTTCTCACTTGCTGTGGGGTGATCCTTTTCCTTCCATCCATAGCTTGGAGCGGTGTCATAAGATATACTTTTCACAGGTAAACACAAGTAATCATTGACAAGTGAAAATAATGTCCATAAAAAGTCTTCATATATAATCTGTTAAGATGACAAATATCACCGAAGTGTACTTCAAAAAGAACTTCAAATGGTGCGCATCCAGTGGAAAAACCCATCACTAGTAAGTATGACTCTTACCAGATATACCTTCATACAGAGGTATAATGTGCTCCATATTATCAACCAAGAGCTGATCATCTTTCCCTGCAAACTGACTTTAAAGTCATTCTAAAGGTAAAATTGAAAAAAAAAACCCAAAAAACTAATGATAAACATGTTACCCTTACCTGCTCTGTGCAGTGGTTTTGCACACAGCAGAGCCAATCCTCCTCTTCTTGGGTTTCCCACAAAGTGTATCTTGTTCAAACCCCCCACACACACACACTCTCTCTCCTTACTGGCTGTGACTGACGCTGCTGTCTCTGAGCCTATAAGAAGAAAGAGAGACATTGCTCCTATGCACAGTGCTGGATCGAGCTCAGGCTCAGGTAACTATAATGGGGGGGGGGGGGTAATCTGCATACAGAAGGGATTTTTTACCTGAATGCATAAAATACATTCAGGTAAAAATTCTTGAGCTTTTAGAACCACTTTAATGAAGAATCATAGGAATACCAACTGACAAGCACCTTTCTTCCACCTATACTGTAATTGGAATGGCTTGAATCCTCCCACTCCACCAATCAAAACCCCCAATATGTATCACACAGGGTAAGAGAAGTGCGTCAAAATTTATTGAACAAGAAAAGAAAATATAAGAAAAGTGTAAAGTCACATCAGTGCTACCACTCACCATGAGACAGCAGCATAGAACAACAAACATCAGTGTACACATGCTCCATCCAACGTGTTTCATCCAATAGGACCAGGTCCGCAAACTCCATGCCACTCACCATGAAACAGCAGCATAGACCAACAACATCAGTGTACACATACTCCAACTGATGTATTTTTTCCAATAGGACCCAGTCCGTAAACTCCATGCTACTCACCATGAGACAGCAACATAGACCAACAGCATCATTGTACACGGGCTCCTTCCTACGTGTTTCGTCCAGTAGGACCAGGTCCGCAAGCTCCATGCAGCCCAATGGACAGGCGAATGTAAACAGACCTGTGTCTGTTTACACCTGCCTATCTCTGATGCCATCCAGGTCTGGTTTTTGCAGGCCTCAAAGTGACAGATCAGAGGAAGATTTATGTAAACTGACAGCAGAGTCCATTTATATCAGGCCACCCATAGAGCTCAAACCATTTACTATATAGTTAGGCTTCTTAGTCCTTTATTATAATATAGCGGGTTGGATACTTGTCAAAACATAAAGAAAAATAAAAGTTGGATTACACTTTAATGAAAGATACAGAGTTTCCCTGGACAATTTAGGGATCGGAGTTCACCTATCAGAATCTGAAACTAGCTCAGGTCTGGAACTTTTCGAATTTCACATATTTGCAGAAAAAAAGAAACGCTAATCTCATATTGTTTGCCTGGAAACCGTTTTAGAAATTAAGATGAATATCTGCCCAAGTATTTAATGGCTTGCGTTTTCTAGCACAGATCAAAGCAGCACTGTAGGTTGCACACCATTTTAGAGATATTGTATGCATTCCATATTTTTTTAATTTATTACCTAAAATACGGCAAAGTAGATTAAGGCAATAATAATTATTGATACAAATTTAAATTGCAAACACATTTGCACTGTGCAGGACAAAGAATGGAGAGAACTATAACAACATCTATCAAATGAATAACTTCAATGCTCATCCCTGTTTCATGTAATTCCCTGATGTAATGCTATGTTGTGCTGTTAGGAAAATAATATGTGATATGGACATTTCTTGGCTTAAAGTGAACCTTTCTCCAAGCATGTAAAGTAAGTAGTATGTTCATCACGTGTACCGTTGGCAGTTCAATATGCATGTCTGTTTTTCCGAAAATGTGTAACCTAAGCAGACTGAACTGGACTGTTGTAGATGTATGTGAACAGGGGCGGACTGACAACTCATGGGGCCCCAGGCAATAGGGGATCATGGGGCCCTTGTGTCTTGCCCAAGCTCAAAAAAGCCTATGAAAAAGGTACCAGGGGCATCTCATGGGGCCCCCTACTGACCCCGGGCCCTCGGGCAGTGCCTGATTTTCCAAATGGTCAGTCCGCCCTTGTATGTGAATTTAGACTTTTTGTAAAAAGTCATCAGCCAAACCTACCCCTAACTAGTCCACCTGGCTGCTGATGTATGTAACAAGCAAGGATGTGTGGCTGTCACAGTGCCAACCAGGGTCTGGATCTAAACCTGGGACCCCTGCAGTGTGTAGTTTTTTTTTTCGCTGTGCCACCCATGCTGGACAGCTCACTGCCTGGTCCCTTGGACAACCTTGACTAGTATACAGACCTATTGATGATGTCATTGGGTCTCCAAAGAAATACAACCTGAAAAAAAAAGATTTGCATATTACTCTGGGTGGGGATTTATGATATGCATATCAGCTTTACAATGTATGAGAAGCCAAAACTTTGTTTCTTTTAGTTTTGAATGGAGTGGGAATGGTGTTAAACTCGCTTGCACTTTTGCTGTTTTGTTGCTGTATGTGTCCCTGCCGGGAAGGTTCACTCTGTATATTTGTACAGGTGACCATTTTCTCTGGTGCATAAGATGATGGTAAATTCAAAATGTTGGAGTTGTCTTAGGAACATATTGTGAGAACAGGTAAACTTGTTCTAGGATTTCACCTTTCTTAAAGCTGTAGTAAATCACAAAACAAAATCTACAAAAAATCTTTTCCCTGCAAGTTAACAGCATAATGTTCTAGTATCTCATATCTCATACTAGCACATTATGAAAGACTTACCTGAAAACGAAGCCCTTCAGTGGAGCACTGTCACCGCTCCCTGGGGCTTCCATCTTCACCAGGTCTTCCTTCTGGGCTCCCAGGCTAAGGCCATTTGGCTGGCTGAACTGCGGTGACGTCACTCCCGCTCATGCACACGGGAATCTCAGGCCCTTGCGTGGCTCTCTTAATGGACGGCACTACATCCATTAAGAGTGCAGTGCGCATGCGCCAGTTACATCACCGGTGCTGCTGAAGTAAATATCTCCTAAACAGTGCATGTTTAGAAGATATTTACAGTACCTAGAGGTAAGCCTTATCAAAGGCTTACCTGTAGGTAAAACATGAAAAAATTACTTTACTACCACTTTAAAGTGTTTACTAAACCCCGGACCCTGCATTCACTATATCTGGTCTCCCACAGTACACACAACATGGAAATGCAATTATTTTAGTAATTATTAACTGCTAAATACCTTTTCTCATCAGCAGTGTATAGTTGTCCTGTGACTTCTATCAGTGTCAAGCAGAGCACTGATTAATCTTGTAGGAGGAGTTTTCATTCTCCTCTGACTGTCCTATGAGGCTGCATTACCCCTGAACCTCTGTCTGGACAGCACTGATTGGCCCTGTGCTGATCACATGCACCCTCCCAAAGAAAAAAAAACCCATCTCTACCAAAATACAACAAACTGAGCATGTGCAGAGTGACTCCTAGAGCTCTGTACTATCTGCAGATGAATTGGGGACAGTAGACGAAGGGGAGGATCAGAGATAACAGGATCAAACAGCCTTTTTGCACAATGTGGAGGATTAACCCCTTAGGTTTCACAGTGAATGTAACAAGCATGCTTTACTGCATATACAGACTGCTTCTACTGTTGCGGGTTTAGTTACACTTTTTAAAGTCATTTCCTCTAACTTCCTGTTGTGTCTCTGAAACAGGAAGTGAAGGGAAATCTTTATGACGGGACTCAGACAGCAAACAAAAGCCTGACAAGGAATACAATTATTCCCTACTCTATCTAGAACAGAAAAAAAGTTTTAGCTTTAATTTACATTTTTACTATGCATTGTTTGGCCAATGAGGAAATGCGAGGGGGTGCAAGGGCTTTTTTTGTAGGTCTCTATGACTGTGCCTCTACACATTTATTATATTCATGCCCTGCTGTCTGCAGGTATTTTATTAAGACTTATGTTTTCCTGCCGTCCTACAAAAATACGATCCTGCCAAAACCGAACGGTAAATCCCCCTTTATGGTTTCATCAAGCCTTGTATAAAAGCAAAATATTTTCTGAAACCCAAATGCAATAACAGTTACTTGTCAGCACAGTGTTCTCACATCCACATGGTAAGTAATGAGTTTACTTTCTTCTAACAAACATTGCTTTACTTTGCAGAATTTGAGAAATCCAACAATGTGTTGAAACCGGGAATTTGTTCAGACACATGCAAAGAATTTCACCAAATAAAACAGACCGTCTTACAGCTCAAGCAGAAGGTATACGACCCCCTCCATGTATATTATTCAGATACGCTGAAACAAACAAATGTAGGCAAGATATGAAACACTTAAACATTGCATATTGGGGGATTGCTTTCTTTCATGCTTAGGATCACATCAAGGAATTGTTGAATCTCCACCAAACATTTGCTCACTCAGTCTATAAACATTTTTTATTCCATAAATATACATTTTTTCAACTTGGATCTTTTTATAAATGATTTATTTGTTATTTGTTCAAGGGAGGGAAAGGCGTTACATACATACTGTAAATAGCCCCTAAATTAGGGTCCCTGATTTAATCCGTGCAAGAGAATGTTTTGGCAGAATCAACTTGGCTTGGTAGTTTTGATATAACGGGGTAGTTAATGAAAGGGAGTATACTATCCAAATCATTTTTGTAGACATATAACACGGGACTAATTTGCAACTTTTATCAATGCAAAAATTGGATGCTGTATATCTCGAGGTATGTTAGCAAATTTTAACACTGCTAACTTTATCCAAAATATAACATGGAAATGTAAGTTAAAGTGAACAGAAAGCCAAAACTGTTTTAGTTTGAATATAGTGTGTATAGGTTAGGACCCCTATAAAATGTTATATTGCATTTGGTGACCCCCACTGGGAAGATTTACTCCTGTATCATTCATACAGAATGTGATGGGAAATCCAACATTTTTGGAATTGTTATAGCAATAGAAGTTGAGGGCAAATCTTCCAATAGGGAAGGCCGTTCTGGAAAAAAACTGTTTCTCCTCAGTTTGAAGACGTCTGCGCTAACTTTCTGCTGGACAGCAAAAGAAGGGAAAATCTTTAAAATTAGAAAAAAGCAAAAGAAGAAGAAAGAAAAATAAATAAACAAATAAAAAAATATATATATATATATATATATATATATATTACTCAAGTCTGCCTTGTTTTATATATATATATATATATATATATATATATATATATCTTTACATTGTATTTACATATTTTGTTCAGTTGAAAAAAAAAGACACACATCCATCTAGTTCAACCATTAAAAGGAACAAAAAAAAAAAAAATACTGTCCTACTTGCATAATCCTATACCAAGCTGTACATGAGGGGATGTACATCACATTGGAGGAAGGGTTTAGGAATTACAGCTCTTAAGAGTAGCCCCTTGAAAAAGGGGGGGTGGCTACTCTTAAGAGCTGTAATTCCTAAACCCTTCCTCCAAAGTGGATGTACATACCCTCAAATTAAACCTGAGAGTGTGCACTTTCAGCCCATATCCATCATAGAACTATAGCTTGAATATGTTTTGGTAAATAGCTAAAAAAACTAAAATTGTGCCTGTGTCCAACTGGACCTAACTGTATGTATATATACATATATACTTTTTTTTTTTTTAAGGTGTCACTAAACCCAGGATCCTACATTCATTATATCTGGCCTCCCACAGTACACAGAACATGGAAATGCAATTATTTTAGTAAATATAAACTGCTAAATACCTTTTCTCATCAGCAGTATATAGCGGTTTTGTGACTTCTATCAGTATCCAACAGAGCACATGTTAAAGCTTGTAGGAGGAGTTTTCATTTTGCTCTAGGAGGATGCAGAACTCTCTGACCTCTGTCTGGACAGTGCTGATTGGCCCTGTGCTGCTCATATGTATTCTCCCAAGAAAAAAAACCCCCAAAAAACTGTTTAGCAATACACACCAAACTGAGCATGTGCAGAGTGTCTCCACGCCATATATTTTATCAGGAGATAAGAGGAGGACACTGCAAAAAGGGGAGGATCAGAGAAGACATGATCAAACAGCATTTTTACACAATGTAGAGGATTAACCTCTTAGGTAACGCAGTGAGTATAACAAGCATGCTGTACTGCAGACACAGACTGATTTTACTGTTGTGGATTTAATAACACTTTAACTTAAACAAAAATAATGATAATTAAAATACTATGCATTGTCTCAAAAGGAATCTGTGCATGCACAATCTCAGTGTTATTATGAAGATAGGAGAAAATAGTGCTACTACCCATTCACAATAACATTAGTAGAGCTCGTGGTCCCAGATCTGCAGTCACACAGCTGTAGACAACTTTCCAGAGAAGTGATCTGCACCACAGTTGTTGCTCTTAAAAATCTTGCTTTATTGTAGAATCCACAGTGTACAAATTGCTAATACAATAAGAGGTTTATGAGCCCCGAAAGATCAGCAGAGGTGCCTGATTGTAGGGGAAAAGCTAAGAAATGGGCTCTTCATTAATTCAATATTTATTGCTCACAGAATAGTATAAACCACCATCAACGTGTTTCGTGGCGCTACACTGGCCACTTCCTCAGGATGGCGCATTAAACGTTTTAAACAGCTGTGATCTGTCTTTTGTGAGTGAGACTACAGAACGTAGGATTGTACAGATCACCCCACTAAGCATCGAGAGTCACCTTACTCTACTCAGGGACAGTCATATTCACTGCAGGCTTTCACTCCAAGCCAGGGGCGGACTGACAACTCATGGGGCCCTGGGCAATAGGGGATCATGGGGCCCCTGTGTCCTTGCCCAAACTCAAAAACGCCTATGAAAAAGGTACCAGGGGCATCTCATGGGGCCCCCTACTGACCCCGGGCCCTCGGGCAGTGTCCGAGTTTCCAGACGGTCAGTCCACCCCCCATGCTCCAAGCTGTCTGATCGCCCATTAGGGAGCTCAGCAACTTCACAGATGAGAATACACTATTGCAATTTACCTTTTCATAATTTATATTTCATCCAATTATCTGTTAAACTAATACACCAAAAGGGACTCTCCTGTGGCCTCTGTCTCTTTTTTTCCTTTTTTTTCCTCCTTATCTTTGGAGGTACCCCAGTTAAGCAAATTGCCAATACAGTAAGTTGACATGTTTCAGGCTACACAATCTCAATGTTAATCCATTAAAGTGTTACTAAACCCAGGACCCTGTATTCAATATATTTTATCTCCCACAGTAAACAGAAAATGAAAATCCAAATATTTTAGTAAATATAAACTGCTAAATACGTTTTCGCATCAGCAGTATATATCAGTCTTGTGACTGCTATCAGTGTCCAGCAGAGCACTAGTTAAAGCTTGTAGGAGGAGTTTTTGTTCTCCCCTGATTGTCCTATGAGGCTGCATAACCCCTGATCCCTCTGTCTGGACAGTGCTGATTGGCCCTGAGCTGATCACATGTACCCTCCCAAAGAAAAAAAAAAAAACTCAAGCAACACACTAAACCGAGCATGTGTAGAGTGGCTCCTAAAGCCTTGTACTATCACCAGATGGATTGGGGACTGTGGAAGAAGGGAATGATCAGAGAAGACAGGATCAAACAGCCTATTTACACAATTCAGAGGATTAAACCCTTAGGTTCCACAGTGAGTATAACAAGCATGATTTACTGCATATACAGACTGATTGTACTGTTGTGGGTTTGGTAACACTTTAAGTGAAAAAAAAAAAATATGCATTGCAAAATTAAACACAGACACCTAGTTATTTCTTTTTAAAAAATGCCAGATTCTCTTTTTTTATATCAGGTTTTGTTTCTAAAAATTGTTTTACACATGATAGTCATAGTGTCAACCTGCCTCCCAGAGCAGGAAAGACAGACATAAAACAAAAACAAAAAAAGGGGGGGGCGTCCATCACATGGACATCAAATAATGTCTACAAAGAATTCCAATATATCTTAACCATATTAGTACACTCTATCCACCCAGGACATATTGGATAGAACGTTCACATAGAGTCCCTAAGATAATAGGTTTGCTTTCCATAGGAAATTCAGATTCTCTAATCTGCTAAATAACATACACAACATCATTCTTCAGAAATGAGAGGAAAATGCATTTACTGGTAATGGTGTGAGAATAAATGTACTAAATCAGTGGTTTCCAAACTGTGGCCCAGGGGCCAGATCCGGCCCTTTGCTTGCCTTTATCTGGTGCTTGGGGCACTGTTCCTCTGACACACTATTCCTCCCACTGACACCAACAATGTGTCACCATTCCTCCTACTGACACCAACAATGTGGCACCATTCCTCCTACTGACACCAACAATGTGGCACCATGCCTCCTACTGACATGTGGCAGCTTCCTACTGACACCAACAATGTGTCACCATTCCTCCTACTGACACCAACAATGTGTCACCATTCCTCCTACTGACACCAACAATGTGGCACTATTCCTCCTACTGACACCAACAATGTGTCACCATTCCTCCTACTGACACCAACAATGTGGCACTATTCCTCCTATTGACACCAACAATGTGGCACTATTCCTCCTACTGACACCTACAATTGGGCACCATTCCTCCCACTGACACCTACAATTGGGCACCATTCCTCCCACTGACACCTACAATTGGGCATTATTCTTCCCACTTACACTGACACCAGGGCACCATTCCTCCCACTAACACCAACAGGGCACTATTCCTCCCACTAACACCAACAACTGGTCACTATTCCTCCATTGACACCAATGTCCGGCCCCCCAAAAGTCTTAAGGACAGTAAACTGGCCCTTTGTTTAGAAAGTTTGGAGATCTCTGTACTAGTTCCAAAAATCTCTGAACATGACTATTGCTGCATGGTGAGTAGGGAGCTCACTGATAATTCATTTTGTGTTTAGTATATTTTTAGTGAACAAAATGTTTCAATTGAACAGGTTTCAAAGCTTCTGGTGAGCTATTGTTTGCTTTAATATATCGCTGTGAAATTCAGAATTTGCATTTTTACTGAGATTTAATCTGAGCTTTTTGGCAAAATCTTAGCAAAAAAACATATGGAAGTCAGTTGGAAATGTGAAATAAATATGCTTTTTAGGTGATTTTGAAGGATGCAATGACTCCCGAGGGTTACTTTCAAGCTCCTGTCAACTATCTTGGACTGACCCTCATTAGCCTTAATACTTTACATTTTTTTTCAAATAAAGAAAAATAAAAATGTAAAAATGATATTCAAAAAAAAGTTAAAAAAAAGAAAATT